TTTTTTTTTGGTTTTCTCATGCTCGATGATAGCCATTTTCTCTGGTACTTCTCCAAATACATCTTTGTTTATTGAGAAACAAGAAAAACAGGACGTTTTTCTCCAAGTGCATCTTTATTGGTTGATTTTACTGGCTTTGAGCTTCTCATTGGGTACATCTGTGTTTTACAGGGTCCTTGTCTTCTTTTCTGATACTGGCAGGATCTCCCATGTCCCATAGCATTGATTCTGTAATCTGCAGATCTTATTTTGTTTAATAATTTCTCTAAAAAGGTTTACATTTATATATATATATATATATATATATATATATATATGTGTGTGTGTGTGTGTGTGTGTGTGTCTTTATTGATTTCAGAGAGAGAGGAAGGGAGAGGCAAAGAGAGAGATAGAAACATCAATGATGAGAGTCATTGATCGGCTGCCTNATGTTTACTTTTTTTTATATATATATAAGTCTTTATTGATTTCAGAGAGAGAGGAAGGGAGAGGCAGAGAGAGAGAGAGAGAAACATCAATGATGAGAGTCATTGATTGGCTGTCTCCTGCATGCTCCCTACTGGGAATCAAGCCCACAACCCGGGCATGTGCCCTGACTAGGAATCGAACCAGTGACCTCCTGGTTCATAGATCGTCGCTCAGCCACTGAGCCACACTGGCCGGATGAAAGGCTTAATTTTTTAAATAATCTTATGTACTCAATACATTTCCCCATCCCACTCTGTTCCTGTTTTGCATGCCTAGATCATTTTCCACTCAGTCTGTTGTCTCCTCTCACTTTTTCTCAACGAGTCCCTAATTTCCTGAATTTTATGAAAAGCACACTTTGGATGTTTTCCAGCTTCATTTTCCCATTTCCTGCAATAACTTTTCTGCACAAGTACGCTCTTCCTCTGAATTTGAGCATGATGATCCCAGCTTAACTTGAACATTCTGTTTTCAAGCTCCACGTGGATTTTCATTCTTCTGCACATTTACCCCCCAAACAAGAAGTGGGCTGTGTCACCTGATAGTCCCTCAGGAGTGGCTGCTGGGTTCTCCTGCTTCCCCCACTAAGAACCTCCTTAAGACCAGAGCTCCCCTTTTTAAATCTAAACAGCCCTTGCTGCTACGTCTACCTGGGACCATCACTCCCTGGGACAACCATCCAGCGTACCAAGGACAACCTTGATTCCACACGAGGAGAGGCCAGGAGGGCACAGGTGTGTCTCCAAGTCTTACCTGAGCAGGTTGGACACGTCAGGAGTGATTAACACCACCAGCTTCCTGGTCGCCCTGTGGTTCCTCAGCGACTGCCCCAGGACCAGGGCCCCCTGGCAGTAGGTGTCGTTGGTGGCCAGGGTCACAAACGCCTGGTCAGACACTGTGGATATGCACAGAAACACCGGTTACGCTCCTGGTGGGTCTCATGGGATGGCAGGGTTGGTGGTCACCCCACATCCCCTCTTAAGCTTCAAAACTCTTGTAGAGTAACTGGTTAGTATTCTAAAATGTTCATTGGTAACCGTTTATATGTGTATTTTCATTTATTTTATTTTATTATTCTACTTTATTTTTAAATTGTATTTTATTTATTTATGTTTCATTTATATTTTTAAATTTTATTATTTTATTTTATTTTTTATTATTATTTTTAACCCTCACCTGAGGATGTATTTTTTTACTGATTTTAGAAGAGAGAGGAAGGGAGAGGGAGAGGGAGAGGGAGAGGGAGAGGGAGAGAGAGAGACA